CGATAGCAAGAGCGAAGACGACGAGGAACAACAGTTGGCAGAGCAAGAAGTACTTGTGAGACAATTTTGGAGAACATTCAACGTCAAGAAAGCTGTGGACTTCTTGGTGGAGGCATGGGATCAGCTGTCTGTAGCAACTGTTCGTCACGCATGGAGACATGTGTTGCAAGGTATTCTGGGTGGGAGGCAGAGTAAATCTGTGACTGGTGAGGTTCAGACTGTTGCAGTAGCAGTGGACCTTGCCAGAGAAGCTGTGCAGAGTGGTACAGCTGCAGGCTTCTCCGAGACCACCAACGACGACATCCTGGAGGTGATAAGGGATCCTAATGTGACTACCGACGAGACGGTATATGATGATGACATCAGTGAAGAGGCAGGTGGCACGTCATCCCAAGAAGAATGCCAGTTATCGCATAGTAATGTAAGGGGTGCCATCGAGTGCACGGAGAAAGTCAAGCTCCTCCTTTCCGAAGACCCTGACGTTAACAGGTATGAGATCTTCACTACCCAGCTGTTGCAAACTATGGAGCCCTACATCAAGGTTTATCACGACAACATAAACACCAGCCGTCAGCAAAGCATAACCGAGTTCTTTGCCCGCAACCCACCACAGCCAGCCCAAGCCAGTGATAGTGACAGAGGCAGAGACAGTGATGATGACTGAGGGATTTGTCAGGGAGGCACTAGTAAGTGTGGATGACAGTGATGAAGACTCACCTGAGGGCCAGTAACCTGCCCTATGCCTCGGAACCAGCCTCCATTCCCCTACGCCGACCCATCTCTTCTACTAACGTAAGTGTTAATCCCAACCTTGTTTTTTTCTAACCTAACCTTCAGTATATTATTCTCTTATTGATTGTTCCCTTCTATATTATGTGTGTGTGAATACCATCATAAAGTTAAGATGTTATTTTTAGTAAAACGTACGTATTGTGTGGGGAAAAAGAGGAGTTTGGGGCTCGGCCCGGTCTCTATTTCAATTAACCCCATATGTTATGTTGTTCACTTTAAGCGGGCCGCCGTGGGTTCAATTGACCGCGTAAAGTGAGGCTTCACTGTACTCAAAGGAAGTGTTAAGATTAGACTAATTACATAGCCATGATTGTTATGTAAATATATATTGGATTAAACATTTATGTAGGAGTGCCAATGTATGACTTATTTGAAATACTAAAATGAATTGCATTCAACAGGTTTGACCGAATTACAATGTTCGAGTTTAACGTGACAAGTCTAATTAAATCCTTTAACCGCCCAGAAGGCGGTTACAGTACTATTATAAACAAAGATAAAAGAAAATGTAAAAGTAATTATATATATCAAGTATTATACTAACGAAACTGATTATCAACTTCGGCTGAAGTCATTACCAATTTGAGGTTCAGAACCAAATCATGCTTCATCGTTACCAAACATATTTTTCATTACCAAATTAGCTCCAATTTCATAATGAATGATGCCAAATGGCAGCACTGTTCTGTTTTCTTCTACTCCAGTTAAGGGGAAACTTAGCTAGGCCTCATAAGGGGCCTAGCTAAGTTGGTTTCACTGTATGGCTTCAGAACATATACCGTATATACTCGTCTATAACCCCCCTTCGTATATAGGTCGACCCGATTTTTTGACCAAGAAATCGTTAATTTATGATATTCCTCGTTTATAGGTCGACCCAAGTTTTTGAGGGTAAAGGAACAACAAAACCTTCAGAAAAACACTACATCCTATAAACTTGTTTACCATTTATTATTACGACACTTTACACTGAAACGCGGGTAGTTTCAACAAAAATATTGTATATTTCCATTCAAGTATTTATTCAAGTCAATTAGGAGGGAATATTATTGTAATACAATAGTTTTTTAACTGAAAACCATTCGAAAAGCGATTACGGTAACATATTTTGAACGAAAGAAAGCAAAAGTCATTGTTTTCGTCACAATTTTATCCCACTTTCCACTGTAATACGTACGTCATTTCAGCAAAAAATATTACATTTCCGTGAATGTATTATATCAACCACAGTATGAATAGAATATCTCTAATATAACAGTATTTTAAACGAAAACTATTAAAAAAACGAGTAACATATCTTGAACATCGGAAGATTTGGTAAAGTCTTTTGTTTTCATGTAGTTTATCCTAATTTACATTGAAATACATCAAGTTTCAGCAAAACTACTATTTATTTCTGAGAATATGGAAATGTAATATTTTTGCTGAAATGACGTACGTATTATAGTGGAAAGTGGGATAAAATCGTGACAAAAACAATGACTCGCTTTCTTTCGTTGAAAAGATGTTACCGTAATCGCTTTTCGAATGGTTTTCAGTTAAAAACTGTTGTATTACAATAATATTCTATCCTAATTCACTTGTGATGTAACAGTTTTTTAACTGAAAACGATTCGAAAAACACGTGTACTGTCTAACTGATACGGCAGAGCCCTGGTCGCGGAGGCTTTGTGTTTGCATCGGCCCTTCTTAAGCAGCTTTTAATTTTAGCGTACGTTGAAATTGTGTTTACCGGTATATTCTTATTTTCTTGCTTCTTATTTTCCAGAAATATGACAAGTTTGTATATAATACAATGTTACGGTACTTTTAATTTACAAGTATTCATTTTTAAAAATACAGGAGACACCAAATAAATACCAGTACTACGGTTATTTGCGTGACTCTCCCGCCAAAAAAGACCAAACAGCTGGTACTCTCTCCCTCAGCCCTACCAAAAATAGCCCAACGACATCTTTCTTGTTTATTCTCTTCCAATTTCTCACTTTAACTGGTATTTTTTACTTCATATTGCCTACATCAGATAAACTACAGTAATTGAGGTTAGACACTGTTATGAATTTGATTACCGGGTCCTGGCAGGTGCCGTTAGAACCACCTGACCCTACCAACAGTGTTGCAAGTCAGACAGCATTTTTTTAATCATCCATGTGCACGAGAAAGGATGGATGGATGAAGGCGGCATACAAATATGGCTTAAAAAAGTCTGGAACTTTAGACCAGGGGGACTGCGCAAAGAAAAAAGTCTTCTTGTGTGGGATATGTTTCGGTCACATCTTGTTGACAGTGTTACTGCTGGGATTAGGAAGGAAAACACTGATACAGCTGTGATTCCTGGTGGATTAACAAGTCTTGTCCAACCACTGGATGTTTCCATAAACAAACCATTTAAAGATGCGGTAAGAGTGAAGTGGAACAACTGGATGATAGAAGACGATAAGACATACACAAAGGGAGGCAACATCCAAGCTCCATCACTAGCAACATTATGTGAATGGATTGTAGAGGCCTGGGATGCAATCAGACCAGAAATTGTGGTGAAATCTTTTAAGAAATGTGGAATTTCGAATGCTCTTGATGGAACAGAAGAAGACTTGTTGTGGGATTATTGAGCCTAATGAGAGAGTGAATGAGGATGAAGATATTGATGATCCTATGGCTGATGATGGTGTTGGTCCATATGACGATGCTGTTCAAGGAGAGGACTGGGAGGAGCTGTTTGGTGCTGCAGATGATAACAAGGAAAATGATTTTGATGGATTTTAATGAAAATATTCAGAAATATGGTATCGTAGTATTTATTCAAGTCAATTAGGATAGAATATTATTGTAATTCAACAGTTTTTTAACTGAAAACCATTCGAAAAGCGATTACGGTAAAATCTTTTGAACGACGAAAGAAAGTGAAAGTCATTGTTTTCGTCACAATTTTATCCCACTTTCCACTGTAATACACGTCACGCAAAAATATTACATTTCCATATTTATTTCTGAGAATATATTCATTCAGGCACAGTTAAGGTAAAATATACTTGTGATGTAATATTTTAATGAAAATATTTATAAATAAGGTATCCATATTTATTTCTGAGTAATATTCAAGTTCAACAGTTCAGGCACAGTAAAGGTAAAATATACTTGTGATGTATATATTTTAAACTTGAAAATAATGAAAATATATAAATAAGGTATCGTATTTTTCTTTTGTTTCAAATTTATTTAACAAAGATTGATGTTTCAAATTTAACTAACCAAAATTTATGTATCTATAAATAAACTTTTAAAAATGAATACTTTATGTTTTACATCATCCTGTGCATACCATACCATGCATTTGGCTACTTTGGGCTTGCTATGATGACGCAAGAGATCTGCCCTGGCAACTGTACCGACACTCACAGCGGGTGGTGCGTTGGTGCGTCGTTTCCATTGTTTACTGGTAGTTACTGGTAAATATTTTTCAACCTAACGAAACTATTACCCGTATAGAGGTCGACCCCCAACTTTTTGCCAAAAAATTTGGTCTTAAGAACTTGTGCTATACACAGGTATATACGGTAATACATATGCTGATAAAGTATACTATTTTATAACCGTTATAATAATCCTCACAGAAGACTTATTTTACGAAGGATTTCATCCATTTTCAAACAGGCATATTTTCTGAGGGCCACGTTCATCACAGTAAATCCGGCCCAAACCTCGGGGCCTCTTGGGGTGCGAGGCCCTAGGCCATGGCCTACCTGGCCTATGCCTTATTCCGGCCCTGGTGATACCTAGGCAAAATGCGGGATGAGGCTCACGAACTAGCTAGTGAGATTATTATTATGGTCATCGGTTATTTAGACAGCCCCTTCCAGTAATAAACCCAACCAGCTGCACCGTCAAAATGGATAATTAGATGGATACTAAAAGTATTTACATGATATAAAAATGTATGAATATGAAGTTATGATATATTAAAGAGGGACACTGAGTGGGTAGACTCTATTCTCATGCAAAAGACGCTGAAGCTAACGAGAGATGCTGGACGAGTAGACTCAATTTTTAGTCTTGGTGAAGAGCAAGTCCCAAATGTAAGGGCAGATTAGGGGGTCAGCCGCATATGTGTGGGGTTGCATACTCTGGATACACATGCTTTGAGACCCTACTGTATATATCCTAGAACAATCTACTTTATACAGCTGTTACAAACAAAATTCACTCACCTTGCAACAGGTAATTTAGGGAGCTGTGTCCATTGACAGTTCTCTACATCATAACACTCTAAGGCATCCAAACTCTGGCGGTTGGAGTATCCACCAACAAGGTATATGACACAAGGGGCATTGGGAGTTCTTTCCTTCTGGCATGGAGGTTTGTGCAGTGTCAAATCCTGTAGGAAGAAAATTGTACAAATTATTAAAGAATAAGGAGAAGAGAAAAAATTATTCTGATACCTATCACCAGATAGTAGATGGGTAAGTACAGTACCAACATCATTATCAATTATATTTTAAGAAGTACGTATTAATAGTCGAGGTGAGGAGTACATTTTCACTATCATATACTTTCTTCTATACTGTATGCCCGACTATCTGTGTATTAAAAAAATATATATACATCAGTACAGTAATACCTCTGAGAGTGAAGCCACTAGAAACAAAGTTCCTTTATATCAAAGTAGCCATTCCCCTTAAATTTTGTATCATAAAAAACTGCTTAAAAATAGTCTACTTAAAATAAAATTTTGCTTTTATAAAGCAGTGCACATCATACTGTAAGCCTAAATGGACTTTCAAATGCACTCAACAGATCCAATTTGCAGCTTACTCTTATTAACTTGTTATATATCAAGTACAGGTAGTCCCCGACTTACGACTGGTTGGACTTACGACCGCCGCAGATGTGACCATTTTTTTTCCCAAATGACGCACGCATTTTCTATACCGAAACGTTTCCAGTTAATGTAGTCTCCATGTATAATTAGAAAATTATAGGGGGGCCCCCATGTGCATTCAGCTGACTACATTAAAGGTAAGTGCTCAGTCACACTGTATCCATTCCTCATTATTTATTACTTTCACTGTACTGTATCCATTCCTCATTATTTATTACTTTTACTGTACTGTATTTCATTGCCGTAAGTCGGGGTCTAGCTGTATGTAGTCAGCACAGCATCTGATTTCTTGATTTACTCATTTGTTCTTAGGTGGTCCCTGTCAGAACCCTCTCTCCCTTGTTGCACATTTTCAAGGCCAAGACAATGTTGGTTTTCTGCAGCTAACACTCACCTGTTTCTATCTTAGTACTATAATAAATTTTAGTATGCCTTTTTTTCTCTGCTTTACTGTGCCATAGGATCGTGTTTTTCTTTCATGAAGGTGTTGACACAGAGCTGAGCTCACATAACGATTATCAGTTTAGTGAATATGGTCTTTCCCAAGATATTTGTCCAACAGCACTTGAAACACCAAAGGGATCATTCTTGGGAATGGTAGTAGTCTTCTCTGTCTAAACTATTACCCATACATCGTACAAATTATCTGTTTCAGTCAAGGGGAACAAATTTTCAAGCCAATTAGCATATGTCACTTGTCAGGAATGTATTGCTTGATGGTTAGCTGACCTCCAAATAAAAACATATTTGTCAATTACAAGTTTCTGGGAAGGCCTGAAATACCCGGTATAATTGTTTTTCAAAATGACACACATTGGTCTTATCATGCACGACCTGTGACTCATGCCCTGTGTCATAGTGTCAGAGAAGTGTAAAAATCTTGGCTAAATAAGGTGCAAATCTCTCTTTGTATATTTTGTAAACACAGGGACATAAATAAGGCAGTTTTCTTTCCAATACTCAACATGGATTTTTTCCAGCATTTGCACTGGGAGAGGAGGGTGTTCAAGGTCGGGTGGTCGGCTGATACCCCCTAATGGGGTCCAAGGGCATTGATACCAAACAAATAATGTTGAGATTTCATTTTGGAATATGTTTAACAAAGTATCCACATAGAGATTAAAGATTACAGTAGAACCTCGACAAATCAGATTAATTGGGACAGACCCAAGTCCGAAAAATGCAAAAGTCTGAAAAATGTGAATATATGGAGGATAACACTGCTTATCTTAACTGTTTAAAGAAAATAAGTTGTTATGTTATTACTACACTTCAACAACTCGGGTCTTAAAGTGTATAACAAGGTTATTAAAAGAATATAACATCAACAATAAAAAAAAATATATGAAACAAAACTCTGTGGGTTGAAAATCAGACATATAAGTCTGGTTGTCAACAACTGTTGTAACTGAGATGATTGTTATTTACTGTAAAGTGTTATATGTAAGTAACCACAGAATTTGTCTTATGAATAAAGAGAAAACTGTATACTGTACAGTACCATAAAGATAAAAATAAGAACAAATAAGTGTAGGAGTATATTGTATGTGGAAGACGAATGTTTATCTGGGAGCAGCTGGCAGAGGGGAGGAGGAGGGGGGGGGTAGCATGGGTGGGTGCTCTCTCCCCCAAGATTCCTTTAACACTCCATTATGCAGTCTCACCATAATTCTCATATAATTTAGGATCATTTGGTGTCAGATTGATAAAATATTATCCTAAAAGAATCAACTTTCCTGAAAAAAAATCCCACTCTGAACACCATGAGTCATTTGTTTACAAAGAGCAAACAACTGATTGGCTTACCACAATGTCTGTCTTCAACACTTAGTAAATTAATACTATACAGTTGTGTATTTATCACCACTTAATAAGTAATATTGTACTGTAGTGTATTAATCATCACTTGATAAGTAATATTGTAGTGTAAAGTATTATGCATCTGCATATACCCTGGTTTATTCATTAATCATTTGTCTAAGTGTATAAGTAGTAGCGGGCAGGGAAAAAACACTTTTATTTGAGTTGCAGGCTGCACTTTTCAGGCATCGTTTGTATGGCTGTAACAAACACCTGTGCAAAATTTCACGCCATTTCATGCATACTTACCCTGCCGCATCGCGAACGACTTTTTGTCAACTTTTAGTGTATACCAAAAATTAGGTGTCATTTAATGTTTTCCAGGATAATGATAAATTTAACATGGGTGACATCGATTTAATTCACATGTTATTTTACAGGTACACCGTATAGAAAATCATTACAAGTTCATATTGAAATTCTTTTTTGTGCGGAACCTTGGCATCATTTTCCTAGACAATAATCTTTGCCTAATATATCCATCTCTCGATTCGTATCCCGTCACTTCAGTGCAAGCTTCAGTCATCACTTTTATGCCTCTCTCGACCGCCTGAGTGCTGTTTGGCCACTTGGGCACCACTAATGGTGTCTCAAGAATGTCATTAACCTGTAGATTTGACAGAGAAGCAATGTAAGGAGGCTCAGTCTTGAGTTCATTCCTCCAGTTAATCATGGAATGATAGTTTTTTGCTTGCCACTTTAGTTTCGGAGTCACCACCTTTCTCATGTTGACTACAGGAGGCACATCCTCATTCCCATCTCCATCTTTACCCTCCTCATCAGTATAGTTTAACAAATTCTCGTCAACAGCAGCATCAGAATCTTCCTCCTCCTCTTCAGATCTGCCAGTGCATTCTTCCTTTTGCTGATTCTCCTCTCTAATTTTTCTTATCATTGAGACAGCTTTTTCTCTAACAGTCATGTCCTCATCTGCACACATACCAAGAAGAAGTTGATCTGTGTGGGCGAAGTATGCATTTCTCTGGACAGCCTTCTTCACTATCGTCTCCTCCTCACTATTCAGGTGTTTCATATATAGCAGGGACTGGAATACGTTCCTTGAGCCGTGTGTTACGTAAGGGTGTATCTTGATGTAAAACCACATTGGAGCACTGAACTTTATTATTGTAATGACAATTCTTTTCAACTCATGGCTGGGTCTTGATGTTGCTACATACAGCCTGAGGATTCTACTCCATAAGGTGTTCCACCTTGACACACAGGGAGGACCTGGCTCAATAGCAGCCAAGTCATCTTCAACAACACCTGTGATAACTCCTTTACAAATCCTATACAGGTATTTCTGATCCCAGGACAGATCTTTCTCCACTTCATCATTAAACACAGGGAAATCAGGGAAACTGACTGGCTGGAAGGCGACAACTGGAAGCTCAGACAAAGACTCCTTGATCTGCTTTCCAATGGGACCACGCCAATGCTCAGGACCACTTGGTTTACCATCATAGTGATAAAAACTGCGCGGAAAGGCAGCTCATTTCCGTGAAGCTGACATATGAAATAATGGAGCGGGTGACCAAGTAACATTTCAAGATGATGAATGACTCCATTTTCTGATCCTACATTTACATTGGTTCCATCACAACCAACACACACAATGGGCTGCTGGGTTAGATTTTTCTCCACCAGAAACTCGTGAATAGTTTTGGCAATCTGCTTTCCGTGTCCAGTCTTGGGAGTCACATGTGTGAGATATTCATTGCCAGGCTCAACCATGATGACATAATGATCTTTCACCATCATCCTCGAACTCCATTTCTCGGTCTTCTCATTCTTTATCATCACACGAGTGGCGGTCTTCTTACCATCAAAATAGAGTGACGTCAAATTATCTAAACTAGCCATCTCAATTTCTTGCCTCTTAAATCGGTATTTTTGTCTCGCATCCCGCAGCTTATGTGGTCCAATAACCTGACTCTTGTCATCCTTTGTGATAATGCCATAGTCAGTTAAGGTGGCAGTAGCAATGGCAGCTCCAGCATAATCACTAATCAAGTATTGGTCACAAGCGGCAGCCAGTGTAGGGAGTCTTGTCCGGTTCTGTGAACTGGTGTCTGTCAGAGCCCTTGGATCAGGGACAAAATCAGCATCAGTATTGACGAGAGGAATATCTCTTGAATCATCTGAATTATCCTCAACATAAGGAATATCTCCAGCTACCAGATATCTATGTTTTTGCTCAAGCGGCTGTTTGGCTAGTACTGTAGGTAAATTTAAAAATTTCAGTAGAAAATGCGGCAGACTAAACCTCGACATATCAGCTTCAAATTTGGCATGGAGTCTTAGATATGTATAAGGAACAATGACTGAAGAGTGCAGCTTTGAGCAAAATTTCACTGCCCCCTAATAAGTAGCCAAATTGAGCCATCATATAATACTCAAAGGTAGTAAATGTTTTTAGTAAGGTATCTTCATATCAAATACTATACAGTGTGTTGTAGTGACCCCTGTTGTAAGCTAGTCTGCAGAAAGCTCTCACACGAACACATCTTCAGTAAATAACCTTCTGATACAGCTTATCCCATTATTTTCAAGTCATATTACAAATTACATACAGTATTGTATATTTTCTCTATTGCTGAAGATGTTATATTAATCATGATGAACCATAAACTATAATAGGCCAATCATATAAGAATATAATACTGAATCAATAAATAAATAAACCTGACAAATGTGGCAACACCCAGTCAGCCCCAGCCTGCTAACATACTCAAGTGTCTTAGTTCTCAGTAGGCCTATAGCAAATCTGACTAGACCACTGTACCGTATTCAGTAGGTGTGGTTCATTTCATAAGATTTTTGGTATTAATCTTGCCCATATATTTTATTTATTTAGTATTTCTGGTGACCAGGGCATCTCAGAGTCCGAAAAAAGCAAATTCCAATATATTGAAGTCCAATTCATCGAAGGTTTACTGTATATTAAAAAAAAATAATAATAATTGGGGTGTGGTAATTTGGTCCATAACAGCATCAAAAAAACAATTCAAAGTACTGTAATCGAGTGGACTGGATACTAGAGTTATGGTAATCTGACCCAAAAATATGCTCTAGTTCCTTGTTCCTCAGCCCTCACCACTGTACCCACTTCTTCAGCCCTCACCACTGTACCCACTTCTTCAGCCCTCACCACTGTCAACCCTCACTGTACCCACTTCTTCAGCCCTCACCACTGTCCACTTCTTCAGCCCTCACCACCTTCAGCCCACCACTCCCACTTCAGCCCTCACCACTGTACCCACCACCCCTGTACCCACTGTACCCACTCAGCCCTCACCACTGTACCACTGCCCTCACCACACTTCTTCAGCCCTCACCACTGTACCCAGCAGCCCTCACCACTGTACCCACTTCTTCAGCCCTCACCAGCCCTCACCACCCCCACTTCTTCAGCCCTCACCACTGTACCCACTTCTTCAGCCCTCACCACTGTACCCACTTCTTCAGCCCTCACCACTGCACTTCTTCAGCCCTCACCACTGTCTTCAGCCTCACCACTGTACCCACTTCTTCAGCCCTCACCACTGTCCCACTTCAGCCCACTTCACCAGCCTCACCACTGTACCCACTTCTTCAGCCCTCACCACTGTACCCACTTCTTCAGCCCTCACCACTGTACCCACTTCTTCAGCCCCTCACCACTGTACCCACTTCTTCAGCCCTCACCACTGTACCCACTCTTCAGCCCTCACCACTGTACCCACTTCTTCAGCCTCACCACTGCCCTCACCACTGCACCCACTTCTTCAGCCCTCACCACTGTACCCACTTCTTCAGCCCTCACCACTGTACCCACTTCTTCAGCCCTCACCACTGTACCCACTTCTTCAGCCCTCACCACTGTACCCACTTCTTCAGCCCTCACCACTGTACCCCACTTCAGCCCTCACCACTGTACCCACTTCTTCAGCCCTCACCACTGTACCCACTTCTTCAGCCCTCACCACTGCACTTCTTCAGCCCTCACCACTGTACCCACTTCTTCAGCCCTCACCACTGTACCCACTTCAGCCCTCACCACTGTCCCCACTTCTTCAGCCCTCACCACTGTACCCACTTCTTCAGCCCTCACCACTGTACCCACTTCTTCAGCCCTCACCACTGTACCCACTTCTTCAGCCCTCACCACTGTACCCACTTCTTCAGCCCTCACCACTATACCCACTTCTTCAGCCCTCACCACTGTACCCACTTCTTCAGCCCTCACCACTGTACCCACTTCTTCATCAATTAACTCATCCATCAATGCTAAAATGCATTAAGTGGTTGATATAGTTATTTATCTTTCTTTGCTCTTTTTCAAGGGGGTGCAGGAGGTGTATTGGGTCCTCCCTAAGTAGGTGTCTTATCCATAGTGACAAGTCAGTACTGTGGCTCTGAGGGAGTGTCCAATACACATATAGGGAGGGGCCATTATGTATAGGAAACAGCTATTAACTATAGGTCAATTTGAACTGTGGTGAATAAAACAACATCCACAATCCTAACTTAGCACAATGTGCCACACTACCACAATAATAACTTACAATTAACGAGAGAGCTAAAGCAGTTAAGTGTTATACTGTACCTTATCTTTCAAATCATATCAAATCAATAAACCCTTTGAACAAGTAATAATTCCCATTGACTGGACTAAACAAATTACACATGTTACAAAAATAAGGATGATTCACAAGAATATGAAAATTACAGGAAAATATTCATCATCAATCAGATGAATAAATTATACAAAACGATCCAATAAAGAAGAACAACAGGTATCATGGAGACAGCTACCGTATGAGAATGATAATCTGGTTTTAAAGCTGGATGAGGGGCAATCAATAAGATCTTTACCCTCCATCAAGTTATGGAAAAAAATGTGGGAACTCAACACTTCTATTTCTCTAGTTTACATTAATCTAAGAAAAGTATTTTACACTGCACCTCGAGAAAGATTATGGAAACGTACAAACAATATGGAATAAATGATGTGTTATAGATATAAGTAAGACCCTCTAAGTAAGACTTCTGTAAGTCAGAAACCCCTATAAATCAGACAAGCTCTGGCTTAGGTGGGATTGTGAGGGGGGCAGCAGTTGGGAGAGGAGTCAGTTCCTACAGTACATGTTTGTTGTTGTGACTATTACTCCACTGTGTACTCTGGGATTTTTTTGGGGTATTTAGTGCTTCCCTGGTGTATTATTGTGGTCTCTAAAGTGAGTAAAGGCAAAACAACACCAGTGGGAGAAGAGGAATGGTGCTGAGAATTCTACCAATTGAAGAAAAACTGAAGATATGAGACAGAATCGTTTCTGGGGGCTCCATGAATGTTCTCCAGCAGGAGTTTCGGCTGAAGCGGGGTACTTTTTATGAGATCAGCCAGATTTAAGTGCATACTAGATATGAAAAGTGGGTCCCATAGGTATGACTGCCTGTTAGGGACAGTGTGGATATAACAACTGCAAACTCAAAAGCCTTCAGTACACAAGGAAGCAGCATGACTGGTACTCCACTAGACTGCATTCATTTCCCCAAGTTGTAAACTTAGGTACCCATTTACAGCTGGGTGAACTGGAACAGAAGGCGGGCGCTGTATCCATCTGCCCACCGAACTCATACTAGAAATGTGTAAACTAAATATGAAGTGTAATTAAATAAAAGTACAAATACAGTCAACCCTCACTTTACGCGGTCCCACATTCCGCGTTTCCACGTTTACGCGGTGCCCTGCCAGAACCCAGGATGCTCACATTCCGCGGTGCGTGTACCCCTTTACGCGGAGAGCGGCTGGCGAGCCGCGCCATTTTTAGATCCAAACCTCCCGCCATCCGCCATGTTGTGTAAGCGGCGCGAGCATGGTGCGCACAAGGTCGCCCAGTCATCAAAACATTACCGAGTTCTTCACCCGCCACCCACCACAGCCGGCCCAAGTCAGTGATAGTGATAATTATAGTGAGGATATAGACTTATATGGACTTTGAGGGGTTTGACAAAGAGACCCTGCAAGCCTCTGTGGTGGATAGTGATACAATTGATACAAGTGATACAGGTGAGGGCCAATAATCTGCCCTCTGCCTCGGAACCAACCGCCCATCCCCGTGTGCCCAGCCATCTTTTCTACTAATGTAAGTGTTAAAAAACCTAATATTATTGATATTTCTCTTAATTATTAATTGTGTGTGCATACCATCATAAAGTTAAGATAATATTTTTACTACAACATAGTTGTGTGTCGTCAAAAAGTGGAGTTTGGGGGTCGGCCCGGTCTCTATTTCAATTAATCCCATATGTTATGTTGTTCACTTTACGCAGTACCCTGTGGGTTGAATTAACCGCGTAAAGTGAGGGTTGACTGTACATGTATTTTAAGCGTAAGCAGCCCCCCATCATCCTTAACCTCAAGGTTCATCTACTACACTAAAAGTAAGTGCAGTGTAAATGAATACTGTCCAATTTCGTTTCTGGAAGGGAGTTTTCACCAAAATGATGGATGAAAACACCCAGGGGGAGAAGGTTACACATAAGTTGGAATTCTAGATAAGTCGGACAGCCTCAAGCCCTATATAGTCTGACTTACGGAGGTCTTACTGTACCTACAGTCCATGGCAGTGCTAAGTTAATATCATCTCTTCATATCAAATATGGATTAAGAAAGTAAATTTTCAACAACAATTCGCCATTCAGACACTGGCATACACAAGAGATAACCTGGAAAATATAATACAATGATGGGACAAAAGTTTTAGGAAATATGTTTTGCACAAAAATTAAACAAAGACACCCATAATGCTTTGTAATAGTGCAGAACAACAACTAAATAACAGTAGGGAAGAAATTCTGCCCCAAATCACAAAATTCAAATACACTGTACCAGTGAAGCTTAATTTTAACAACAACCAATTTGCACAAGGAAATTACAGAAAGAATTTTTTAAAATATTAATTAGCTAAAGCATTTATATCTCTGCCTTTGAAAGAGAATGGTGTCCCTGATAAAGTAAAGATGCTAATACTCAATGCAAGTTTGGCTCCAACTTCAATATATGGAGCTAAAACCTGGACTATGTCTTCAAGGGATGGAAAATGAAAGCTCTCTGATATACATTAGGGGGAAACAATAAATGGTAGAATAAGAAACAGGGAAATGTTTGGACTAATACAATTACTTAACAGAATAGAAATGTCTACAATGAGATGGATAGATCATATGGACAGGATGGAGAACACCAAATACTGAACCAAAAATGGCTTTTGATTGGAGACCCAAGAGAGATGAATGCCAGGAGGAACCAGAAAAAGGTGGAGTGATAAAATATAAAACATGCTGGCCACCTCCATAGGGTGACCATTAGGTAAACCAGGTACTGTATATTACACAGGCTTGGAAGACTGGAGGAGAAAGCAGTGTTCAAAAACACGACAGAGTAGTGTGCGCACGCACGCACGCACGCACGCACGCACGCACGCACGCACGCACGCACGCACGCACGCACACACACACACACACACACACACACACATAAATGTGAAATCAATGACTCACTTGGAAAATTTTGGCGAGATACTCCCTACAAGCAGGAGCTTTCATTAACAACTTGCAATTTTTCATCTGATCAGTCAAGAATCGAGGGGATAAATACTGGCATCTGTGAAAAAAAAAAATATTCAAATGAATGAAGAGACTGTAAAAGAAACTACTTATAACAATACATAAGGGGCTAAACATAATTATTGCTATGATTTTAAAGAAAATTAAAACATAACAGCAGTGTCTCTCATTGCATCTATCATGTATGACATTCTAAACACTGACATGAAAGATTCTCAATGATGACTCACTCCACCGTTTCAAGTAACATTTAAGACAAAACAATATACAGTACACTATACCCTCATTAATTCGACAAAAAAAGGGCTCTGGGTCACTTGAATTACCGAAAAATCCGAATTAACTAAGTTTGGAATATTTTAACATTATTCGACAATTTCTGATTTTTTTTGTTTGATTATTCGTTCGTTTTTTGTTCAGTTTGTTCCTCATGATTCTAACAATGCCTTGGCTGCCATATAAAATATTCTATTTGTAATTATTTTGTTCCATTTCTGTATTTATTTATGGTCCCCCCAGCCCTGATGTGGGTCAGTGGCCTATGCTCAGGTAGGCTAATCAAGGGAAGAAAAAAATAAAAAATCCTCCTCAAATGCAAGTCTGAGCAACACTAACCTACCTATATACTCAAAATTATTTTTCATATTCATCTGCCCATCACAAAAGCAAGCCCGTTGCCATGTATCAGTATGTGTTGTCAAGTGGTTGCCATTTTAAATTTAGCACACACCAAGCCTCTAACAGCCTGCCACTCACACACCCGTCTTCTCCCAGAGAGCAATGACCTGCCTAAATATTCCATTAATATATATTTAAATATCTGATATATAGAAAATAATAATTTTAAAATACCTTACTGAAATACCTTGAATAAAATATGCTTGGAGGAAACATTATTATGTTTACCTTAGTAAATCTGGTACAGCTGTATGGTATATTCCTCAAACACCCACTTGACTCTCACTACTGCATCACAGGTTCCATTCCCAGGTCAGATGTGAGACAGGTGTTATCATATGTGACCCTACCAAACATCGCATTTTACCTCTGGGTACTCCAGTTTCCTCCTGTATAATACTGACACTAGACAGTGAATTTTAGTACGAAATAGCAGACCGAGTGCCTAATGCACAACCATAAAGTAACAGATGATAAATGTTTACTTATGGTAACCCAACTTTGCAGTATAGATTCTTTGGACATAACTGATTGCTGTCATAAAATCCACTCAACAGATCTTTATAGTAACAATGTTAATTATAATTTTGTAATTAGCCTTTAATTTTGGTAAATACAAATCACCGGGTGAGCTGCATTTCAACATATCTGGCAGCAGTGTGCTGCCTCTGTAAAAGGTCATCTAAATGGGCATTATTATGCAAAGTTAGAAGTGAGCTTTCACCATTTAACTGAAAAGACCCACTCCATGTATACATTCATTCACAGATACAGTAAATACTTTTTATAATGGTGCCATATGTCCGAGTATACTTGTGCATGTCTGCACATATGTACCAATTACATCCGTGCTGGAGTTCTCCACCACTATTCCATCACAGATGCTCTTCGCTTGCTGCACATCCTTTGTTTTGTTTTGTGCATGAAGCAGTCAAAGCTGGCTGTGTTTACAGTGTACTGTAAGCAACAAAGAAGTGAATGAGTGCCTATTTCTGGCCCCCTTTTGTGTGAAAAACCCAGACAGATTCACCAAATAATTAAAATAAATGCATAAAACAATACATAATGGCTACATAGCAGTACAGTGATCCCTCGTTTAACGAAATTTTGGTTAATGAATTACCTTCCATAAGATTCTTCACTTCGGTTAACGAGCAATCCCTCGATTAACGAATTCCTTACGAGCGCCCCTCAACATGTTTTTGCTTGCTCACTAGCTGTCGTATTAGTCCACCAACACAGTATTCGGTTCTAGGGCTTAAATTCCTTACCATTTTAGTAAATATCAAGAAGGCTGTACTATTGAATAATTTTAAAAGTTTTATCTTAAATTTTTTAGTCATTTTAACAATTATTGAACATAATTGAAGTACAGGAAACTAGTTTGTTGCGTGCCAAACAGCCACTCAACACACCAAGCTTGACGTCAGTTTATTTATCGGTTCCGAGGAAGGAACATCTTGTTTGAGACTCTTTAACATAAACGCGTTTTTTCTGTGTTTCCAGTCAAATTATTGGTCATTTTGAAATATATTTTACATATTGATAATATATAGCACAGTGCAGTGTTGATATAAAGAAAATAATCTTGAATTACACCAAGTGAACTAAAATTTTATGGGTGTAATGGCGGCATGGGGTGACTTCTCTTCCACCCCAATGCCTTCTCTTCTCCCTTCTCCTCCACCCCCATTCTAATTCCCATCATCATCAACCAGGAGCCTTCTACATGCACACCTCAAAGTAAGTGTACTTTACTGCATTTATTTTTAGTTTGTATGTAATTTTCGGTGAGCTGGAACCAATTACCCAAAATCCCATTGAAACAATGGTTTCGGTTAACACATTTTTCAGTTAACGAGTAACCTTCTGGAACGAATTGTGCCCGTTAACCGAGGGACCACTGTAGTATGCTCAAACATATAAACTCTTACAGTACTGTACCCATTAATAAAACCCTCATATCACATTTTTTATATTCTAATTGTGGATTCTTACATTAATTTGTGTATGTATATAGTTATTGCATACACTCACCTCTCGTTTTACGTGGGGGTTACATTCTTGAAAATCACCGCTTAATTAAAAAATGAGTAAATTAAACATAATTTTCCCATAAGAATACCTGTAAATGGTACAGGTTGGGGGAACCATCATATACCGTACAGGGTACGAACAGTGCTCTCACTTAAACCAAGCACGCGGCCAACCTCCGACACGCGCTCTCCTCTCTGAAGGCGGGTGATTACATTTAATTTCATGTCTATTGCGATTGTTTTTCGTGCCTTTTTAGCTTTAGTCACCCCAGAGGAGGCAGATGGACATTTTCCAGACATGCTCAAGGGGGGAAAACAGCACTTAACAATAAAAAGGCACCTGATAAATACACAATACAAATGAGAGCACAGAGAAAAAGTAGTGCTGGTGTGAACTGAGAAAGTGATACACAGGAAGCTTGCTGGACATCATCACAGTTGTTGTACAGAACACTGTACTTCATTATCATCATTATCTTCATCATTGGTACAGGTAGTAATAAACTTTATTATTACATTATTATAATAATAATACTTATTATTATTATTAATTATATTAAAATCGTTGATGTTGATATGACTGACTTCATAGTACAGGTTGTACTGTACCTCTCTAGTCCGGCAACCTCAGGACCTGACCAGTGCCGGACCATGGAAATTCATCCTTTTCCTGGATAGATAGTGACTTGTGCTTATGCTTGGAAGCACTAGCACCACTTTCTCTGCATCATGGTCTCTTTAAAGACACATTGAAGGGTTAAATGTCGTATAGTAGCTTCTCAAATTTCGCGAGTTTTTAATTCAACTTATTTTATTGGAACACACAAAAAAAATAAAAATTTTGACAGCAGAAACTTGAATTTCGACAGGTTTGAACGACCCGCCAACGTGCACAATCATGTAAACAGCGTCATTTCTCTTATGTACAAAAGATTCATTATTGTTTATTACTGAATGTCTTTTTTATTGAATTAATGTTTATGTGTGCAAAATGAGCAATACAATTCATTAATAATAAGTAGAATATTAAAACACATGAGGAAATGACACAGCATTGTTTTCGTTGATTACAAAACCAATGACTGACTGGTTCTTCATATAAAACTTTAGAAAATAAGACTTTGGTTGTAGCTGTAGTAAAATTAATATGGTTGTTTTAAGTAATGTTATTTAATGTTAATAAATGGAACAATAGAAGTAGCTAACGATAATGGTAAAGAAAAAGAGAGATCGCATATGTAAGTGCGCATGCGCACACGTGAAAACATATCGTCATTACTTTACATAAGAATATGAAAGCAACACTTATTTACTGTTCATATATATTTTAATTAATGTTTCTGAATTTGTTTTTATTGAATTAATGTTTGTGTGTGCAAAATTAACAATACAATTTATTAATAATACGTGGAATATTAAAACACACGAGGAGACGAGACGGCTGCCGGCATTGTTTATGTTAAAGCTTACAAAACCAGTGACTGATTGGTTCTACATATAAAACTGAAGAAAATAAGACCCTGATTGTAGCTGTAGTAAAATTAATGTAAAAAAATTAATATGGTTGTTTGAAGTACCTGTAATGTTATTTAATGTTAATAAATGGAACAATATAAGTAGCTAACCATTAATGGTAAAAAAAAAGTGAGACTGCGCGTATGTAAGTGCGCACATGTGAAAACATATCGTCATTACTCTACATAAGAATATGAAAGCAACACTTATTTACTGCTCATATATATTGAAGGGTTAAATGTTGTACTCTGTATAGACAAGCAGAGAGAGAGAGAGAGAGAGCAGCCGAACTGCCGGATGTAAACAAACCTTAATTTCCCGCGGCTTTGTTGTTGTTTTTTTTACGAGGATTAGCCCACCCGGGCATAGGTCACTGACCCACATTGGAGCCTGAGGGGCAAAAATTTAATACTCCTGTAATAATAATAATAATTCAGATAAGTAAAAAAAGAAAAAGAAAAAAAAAAGCTGCCAATCTACCTATTGGAAATACTAAAATCGTTCCGGACCACGGGAGTTTCCGGACCACAGAATGCCGGACTAGAGAGGTACAACCTGTACAGTACTGTATATTCTACTGTTTGTTATAATCTCATTGTAAAATGATGAGATTACGAAACCATATTGTGACGAATATCCATCAGACAGTTCTCTGTTTGAAAGTAAATTCTTAAGAATTTAGTAAGAATGTTTTGAGGTGGGATGTCACTAAAGTAACAGTAATCTGGTATGACTTTTTTTTTTAATACTATAACTAGAACACTAAAACATGACGTCTTGTTCAAATATATAAATCCTTATCCATGTT